AGCAAGTAGATGAGTTTGTATATTTGGGCTGCGTATTTAGCAGGGATGGGAGATATGATAAGGATATAGAACGACGAGTGAATGCAGGAAATAGAGTAAATGGGGCCCTGCACTCTATTGTGAAGAGTCAAATTGCGTCAAAAAAGGCACATATGGCAATTCATAATGCTGTGTTGGTCCCTACTTTAACGTATGGTAGTGAAAGTTGGGTGTGGCAGAAGAAGCACGAGAGTAGAATGAACGCAGTAGAAATGTGGTCGTTAAGTGTATCTTTATTAACATAAGGAATTGAAGTCTGGGGTGGTGCAGCCAAAACACATATTATTGAACTAGAGCGTGTGCAAAGATCACTTTTAAAAGTTATCCATTTTAAACCCTACTTATATCCGACTTTAGATTTGTATAGAATAAGCGAAGTTCTTACAGTTCGACAACTATTTGTGCTACATATAATTTTAAGACAACATACAATTTCAAAAATAACTCAAAAGGAACATTGCTGCCGTAATCATCTGGTAGCTCAGTCAGTGCCTTTCTTTACATCTTTTGCTAGGAAATTCTTTACTTTTTTGGGTACGTGTTTATATAATAAATTACACCAAAAATTATCTATTTATGAAGTCAACAGATGGTCATGTAAAAATAGACTCGTGGAATATCTTCAGACTCTTTCATACACAGATACAGAACAATTACTCCAAATTATCTCATAAATATTCACAGACATACACGCACACATCACAAACAAGCACAAACAAAACACAGTCGCAAACTCTCATACTTACGCTACAAAAATACGTGGTTTTTTATTTTCTATTTTATATTTTTTATTTTTTCTCTATATATTATTATTTCTAACCATAACATAAGTAATCTCCTTATAATATTATACTTGTTGCCAAGTAAATTCGGGGGGGGGGGGGGGCTGGTGACCTGTAATACGGGTCTTTGAACCTACACGGGCACCAGTCTCCCATGAATGACAAAATATTGTTAAAATAGAGATGTAACACTAATGTATCTTCCATGTCGTTTGTGGTGAGAAATAATTAAATTATTATTATTATTATAATTATTATTATGTCACCTTTGAGAATTAGGATCGAATGCCTCACAGCCAGTAACTTGTTTTTTTTTTAGAAAACAACGTTACCCCCACACTCCTGTCTCGTGAAGGCAGTTTTACTTACATAAATTTCATATAGACATACATTTAGACCCGTAACAATTATTTGTAGGTCATACTTGTAACGTTCGCCAATCGAACCCGCGGACCCAAGCGCCGCATATCATTGCTAAGACACTGCACCATATTATACTAGCTTCACTCTTCAGACCGGAGCACACATTCACAGCAATGCATGCTCTGTTATTTTGCGGCAGAAATAGGCAAGAGGCCTGCTCCTACCCAAACGGTCTCCTACGGTAAAAGGAGTCCAATCAACTATAAAAAAGTGGTCCTACTACCTAGTTAAAGCTGTTTGAGCTATGATAGCTTTTCTAAGAGAGCGGGCACCTTTTTTACTGGTAAGTCACTTGTGGTAGCTGGGTATTCCATACTCCTCAGTAGTACCAACGCATCTTCATTTTGATTCTTAACTGATATATTTGAAGTACGAGTATATAGCATATAGCATCAATTTACCATCAGGTGGACTGTGTGTTTGTTTATTGCCCGTACTTTTAATAAAAGATGAATATTATTGAATAAAAAAATCTTGTAAGGGAGAATACAACAATGTATTTTTCTATTAACACGTGCAAAGTCACAGGCATTCAATAATAAAAATAAAAAATAATACAAGAAAGTATGTATTACTCTGTTAATAACATTTTTCTAAGTGCGAATGTAGGTCAGTTGCTGTTCTCTCTGTCCATAATTGACAGAAGACGATATAACTAAACCCGGGAGAATAAACGAGATATCTCGTTATTATCTAGAATTCTCATCGCACCGGAGCCAATTCTAAGCCGCATCTAGCGCTCTGGGCAATGTCTAACACAATGGGTTTTATAACCTATTAGTAGTAAGACGTGTATGGGGCTATATAGTGCAGAATACACAGCTATATACGTCTTAATACAAATAACTAATAACTATATTTAGAAGAGTGAAGAAACTACTTCTTCAATCTTAAACTTAAAACTAGATGTGAACGACATGTATGGCAATGCCTCTTGTTTTGAACATCTCGTGGCCTGCGAACTGTCACTGATTAAAGTTTTATTGAAATCGGTTAAAAGATTAAGCGCACATAGACAACGAACAAACAAACAAAGAAACAAATATTAACTAATAGAATCAGGCGTTATTTTCGGAAATCCATTAGGTAAGTATTAAAGATGGCAAAGAAAAAGAATAATTAGCTAAGAGTTTAGCGTAATAAAATAAAGTGATGTATCTTATTTAGTTTGAAGAGCACCTACTGCCCTTCTCCAATTACATGGATGCCCGTCGCCACTAATCATTACACTCATTAATCATTACATCATTATACTGGGAACGACGCCCCATTCTACGACGACGGTGCTTAATGGCGTTTAAATCGAAGGATATGTAGGTATACCCATAGCCATCTACATCCACCCTCTATTTTGAATCAAAATGCAAATGCACTGTCACCCCTGAGGGTTAAGATGGAAAGCCTCATTTCCAGTAAAAAAGGGTCTCCGGATCTCTACACTCACCATACGAAACACAGCAGTATTAAATTTTTATTTTATGCTGGTGTTCTTTCTGTAAGCGTGTGGTCCTTCGCCGGCCGAGACGACTTTTTCTTACTGTAATTTTAATATAGGAACAGCGAGGCTCTACCTATTGTTTAATTTAAATTATAATATATTATTTCACACTGTTAAAGTTATGTAATTTGTTTTAACAATAAATTTCGACTTTTGATGTGATTGTATTAAAACGTAAATACAATATGACGTAATTCAAAAGTCTGAATAAGTTGACATGCCTTTGGCTTCTCTCATTCAGCAATAACTTTGCACAAGCGTACTAACACGATTTAAAATAACCTTTTACGTAAATCCGAAGAATTATAAAGTTATCTATATTTCTTTACAACGTGTATAGTTTTTTATCACTAATTTAAATTTGAGTCTTTCAAACAAAGCAAAATATTAAAAAATAACCAGTATCAACTTTTTTTTTACTTGACGTCGTTTCAATGATATGTCGCTATGTACATTACCGTAGTGTTTGGATGATTAAAATTCATTGTTATGTGAATAATTGGCAAAAATATTCAAATAATCGGTAAAAATATTCAAATAATCGAATCATTCGATTTTAAATTTATTATTGATTTAATTTAATTTTTATTTTTAAAATTCCTTAAATTACATGAATCATGAATAAAACAAGTTTTTTTTAATTTGTCAAAGTAAATTTGTGTAGGCGAAAAAACTCATTTAACCATTTAAAAAACCACTACGTAATTTTAATATCCATCATTTCGAGAGATTACTGTGCGTAATTTTGTGATTTTGTGTTTGTCTTCTTATTTTGTAATTCGACTTTAACTTTTTGGACTGTTTCTTCTATATTCGTTGAAGCATGTGCCCGTGTCAAAAACGATGATTGGGCAAAAGTGGTTGAATAAAACAAAAAATTAAAAAGATTATGGATGACTTTGAGAGACATTAATTTTGACTGCATTATTTAAAATCAAATAATAATTAATCTAAACAACGATAGTGATTGAATAAATTTATTTTAAATCTAGTTTCAATCTAAATTTTTTATAATTGTGCCTTTAGAAATAAGCAGTTACAAAAATACGAAGAAACTGATAAATCTTGTATTTCAAATTATCCGTTTTTAATTTATTCTGGTATTATTTAAAACCAAACTATAAATGATTACTAACTCTAAATAATCGATATCGATTTTTTTAATAATCGAATATTGTGCGTTCCCATTTTTTGGTTGGCATGCTTGGTGCAATAAGTCTGTCAGCTGTCAAAATTTATTTCTTAGATTTAGTTGACAATAGTGTGGACCAGAAAGATCGTGTTGCTGAGAGGCTGCCTTGTGTTGCTGTTGGTTTGTATACCTATGTGCTATCATGTAATTATGTCTTTCACGTTACACTAGTGTGTGATTGTGGCGGAACATATTACGGTTGGTCGAACTGTATTTGCTCTATACTGAATGTGTAGTGCAGTACGCTGTCTTGATTCTGATATTGATTAATTTCATACATCGATATATATGTACTACTACGCACTAGATATGGCACTCCGAACACTCACTATATATATATATATATATGACTGTCTCGATGGTCTAGTGGTTGTAGTAGTGCGACTGCTAATCATGAGATCCTAGGTTCGAATCCCGAGTCGGGCCTAAAAAATTAATTAATGAGATTTTCCGTCAAGAAATTCTCAGTAGTTGCCCGGAGTCTGGAAGTTGGCGGTGTCTCACCCCCGTACCTCGGAAAGCACGTAAAGCCGTTGGTCCAGCGCCTGATCTCTCTCCGGTCGTGTCGGTTTACCGTCCCATCGGAATATGAGAGTGAGGGAATAGAGAGTTCACCTGTGCTTGCGCGTACACTTGGGCTCTATAAGCCTGTCCTGCTCCGACGGCTAGCCTACGTTAAGGCAGGCCGCCGTGGCCGAAATTCGGTCTGGAAGACATTATATATAATTAATGTGAGAAACAATAAATATTATTATTATTATTATTTGGGATATCTATAAAGTTTTCTCATCTGGTTGGGTTCTATAAATATATAATTATAAATTAAAATGAAAAGATAAATATACATAAATATCTATAAAATAAAATAAATACAAAAACCACATAAATAAATAAAGATCCAACCAGATGGAAGCCCTCGTGGGGCGGTATTTGCTCGGGTCTGGGCTATCCCAATCTTTAGGAACCAAGTGAGTGATCTCGGTAGTGGAGAGGCTCGGGAGCGACTTCTGATCGAGAGCCTCTTGAAATTGTCGGGCAAGCACAGCGTGACACACTACGAACCCCTTCAGCCAGTAATGATGCAGCCCGTCAAGCCCCAGACTTTTCCAGTTCGGGGCCCTACGGACCGCTTCAGCCACGTCTCTGGCGGTATGGTGACCGGGTCGTAACAATTGCACTCTGGCTTGCCACAACTTCCATCCAAGGGCCCTCGCTGTTGTTTACGGGCTCTCTCTGACCACAGGCCACGCCAAAATGCGACAGCCTGATCTGGTCCTGGACCCTCTCCACATACCTCTGGTCGCTCCAATGATTTATAGAGCCTCTTCTGATCACTCTCGAAGAGACGATTCTGGTTAAACCGCCTTGAACTCTCGGTAAATCGACGTATCTGCTTCAGGTCGTCTATGCGCTCCGTTAGTTTTTGCGTAATATCCGGCTGGGACAAACTGATATTTATCCCAGCAAACGCCATTCTAACGGTGCGCACAACCCTTGGTCTATTATTACCCGACCTGAATCTTGTCAGTCTGCCGATAAGGGCCCTTGCGTTTGCGATACGGTCCTCAATTCTTTTCTCCAGGCTGGGATGGCGCTACTTTGTTTAGTAGCGCGTCCAGCCATGGGAAATTTGGCGCCAATAATACGGCAAACTGCCACTGCGGCGCCAAAAAGAACTGAGTCCGTCTCGCAAAGGTCCCGGCTGGCTTCCAAATAGGTTACCAGCATTGGGTTAAGAGCCCTCACGACAGCCCGATGTCGCTTGCTTAGTTATACGGAGAAGTCGCGACCAATTTTCGAGAGGCATGCTGCGCGCTTCCAAAATCGATCTTCCAGTATACTCCTAATTTGCTCTAGTTCTTGGGAGATCATTTCATCATCGTCCGAATCAACCACAACTGGAAGATGCATGGCGGTTTCCACGCGTGGATGCTGGTCTGTCGCCTGTGGAGCCGCATCCCCAGCCATAGCTAATTCATTCGATGAGGAAATCGTCTTAGTCGTTCGAGCTCGGCATCATCAAATATTTTCGAGCGCATGATGTACCGAACTCGGTCTGCCAGGTTTTGTTCCGTGACGGAAATAGACGGCTCCAGCTCAGCAAAAAAGCAATGCATCCGAGCCCGATACGCTATCCCTGCAGTTTCTTCCCCTTTCGCCCTATAGTACGCCCACAATACGTTTGCGTTCATAATTTTTGTCCAACGCATGTGGCGCACTCCACCAGTAGCGGATGCCACTTGCCGAGTCCGAGAGGATCCTGCCGACATCAAGCCATCTGGTGGGGATGATGGATGCGGGGGGCTGCTAGATGATCTTGCAGCTCCTCGCGGTCGGCTGGCGGCCCGCATGCTGCTGCGTCCAGCGCCAGCTCCAGATGCGCCCTGGCGACCCCCAGGCAGCGGCTCTATACGCTTTCTATTACAATCCATCATCCATTTTTGGATGCCAATTAACGGGAGACGCCCAGGGCCGGCACCGTTTCATTGTATCATTGTACGGCCGTAAGCACAAACGGGCCTTTGCACCCTGAGTACTGCCGAGGCACGGCGCTGACTGACTGCACCAACGTAGCAGTTTTGTATTATTATTATTATTACAATATTCAACTGAACTGTACTGCAATCCGTACACCTGTTATTGTGGCTTCGATGTTCATGCAGTGCGGAGCGGCGCTAATAATAATACGAAAGTTAAATTAGCACATATGCAAAATGAATGAAAATTAAAAAAATGTACTCAATTAACGATACAATCTAAACAATTATTTATTATGACTATTTTCGCGCGTTTATATTAACTGCGCATGCGCGACTCTACCGTTCCCTCGCATGTGCGGATACAGAGTAGTGCACATTTTTTGTTTGGAATTAATATTATAATATATATTTTATATGTATTTTTATATTGCATATAATATAGATTAATAAGCAAGAGAGTCCGGCGAACACATACTATTTATTATTTTTAACAATTTACCTCCAGAATAATTTCTAATAGTAACGAAAGTTTGTTATCGAGTATTCTTTTATTTTAAATAATTTTGAGATTAATTTCTAACAATAATGTATATAATATAAAGGAAAATTTGTCAGAAATTACTGAGGGAATAAATTTAAACTAAAAAGGTCAAGTAAATTAAACCTCAATCAGAAATGTCAATAACAGATGTTGTACCGGAGATGCTCTTTCTATTCAAACTCTCTGTGAAGGATCTCTCGTGTTTAAGGATCTAACATTTTAATTAATTAATTCAGCTATCTCAATTAATTCAGATAGTTGTAGGAGCCGTGATAGCTGAGGAGCTAAGCGCATGCCTTAAATTAATATGGTAGGGCTAAGAAAAGCGGTACGCGAGTGACTGGGCTCTGGATCTACCTTCACCGACACTAACGAAATTATTAATTGCAATTTTAGGTTTTGATTTACCACGTGCTCCCGGGAGAATGCAAACATGAGGAAACCTGTACATCCAAGAAATAAAATATTATATATATATATATATATATATATATATATATATATATATAGATATAGATATATATATATATATATTCAGTATATAGCTGACGTGAAGCATCAACGTTCCGGGAAATCTGCTGCAGTTTGTGTCCTGACTAATCCTCGCGAAAGAACACCAATTCCTACCAAAGATGATACGTGAGGCTATTGAAATTAAAAAATATCCTAATTTCAATAGAGAAGGAGGTTGGGTACTAGCACCTGCTTGGGACCCTATAATCAATAAAATAAAACTAAACCCATACATACCACTGCAAGACTTTAGGACATAATCAGTTCATTTTGTATAGATCGGACCATAAACAATAATTAAAAAAGCTGAAGGTACTCCGGGTTTTAACAATGACATCGGGACGTCGGTCACGTCAGTCCTCCGTGACCATAGGTGCTGGAAAGCACCCGAATCGTCGATAATTAAAAATAAAAGTAATTAAAAGTAAATTTAAACGCGATAAATTCCATAAAAGTAGTTTTAATCAACTTAGTTCCATTTAATTTAGATTCATTAGAAGTAAGATGCAGCTGCACTTATTTTTTTACTTTTCTCGCCGCACACGAAACCCACGGACCGATACAGGGTAGTGGATATTCTAGCACTACGCCACTACACGATGTTAAGGAAGTGCATTAAAAGTTATGGAAAATATTTTCTTTCCCTAAAATAGAGACATATACCTAGAATATAACGTAGATACTTAAAATTAATTTTAACCTGTTTATCCAATTTAAAGTAATTACAATTTTCACCTTAATTGAAGAATTTGGAGAGAAAACCTAAGCTGAATCTAAGCTGTCTCCAGAAGCAAAATCTAAACTATGAGTTTAGATTCCCTTCATACTATCCTTTCACAACGTACCTCTGTACATTAATTTTCATTTTATAATTAGTATCGAGCCCCGGCTTCCCCTGGATAGGATCTACTTGCATTAATGTGGCATTATCTAGATTTAGGATAATCAAATAATATTTATTATAATTTTTTTAAGAATACCCCAATTTTTTTTTCTTAAAATATTGACTAGATCACTCCTGGCATTGCTATACATCTGGTCGTGAAGTTTCTTCTCAATGAGTTCAGCCGTTCCGAAGATTAGCACAGACAGACAGACAAAGAGACAATTAAAAAAAGTGTTTCATGTCTTAATCACACCCAAATAATTCTTTCAGCTCAATATAATGCAGTTATTTCAATATTAACAGAAATACAGTGAATTTTATTTAAATTTGTATAGATATTTTGATTCACTCGTACAGATCTCCCCTGCCTCAGGTGTAGGCACCGTACTCCTGTCTCGAACACGTTCCATAAAAGAACTTGTTTGCATCAACACGTGCACGTGCAGGTTGCATTGCTTAGTTCACTATGTGGCAAATCTATTCATACTTTGAAATAAAATTGAAATGTCTATCTGTATTATTGAAGTCAAAGGATCCTATTTAGCTCGGGGGATATTTACATGCTAATGAGATATGAAAAACCATTTTTAAAATGTTTGTCTGTGCGCCTGTCTGTCTGTTTGAGCTTATCTTCGGAATAGCAGAACGTTATATTTAATCCGAAAACATAGAGCATATTTTTTGAAACCTTAAATCTTATAAAAAACCTATAACATACTCGTATAATATAAAAAAAGTTTTGAATAACATACTTTTTATAAAGTAAAATTAATAGAATTTTTATTAGAATTCTTTACTTTTTCCCATATTGCACGATGTTTTCGAGATAAACAAATACATTTTAAGGACGTTATCCAAATATTAAAAACTTACCTTAAACTCAGTTTTCACTATTACGTTATACGTTCGCGAAGTCGCGGGTAAAAGCTAGTGCAAAATAGTTTCAGTAAAACTAGAGTCAAATAGTTTTAAAAGTAAACTAGACGCGCTCAAAGGTGCCTCAGTGATCGCTGTTCGTTTAGTGTGTACGATGTTGTTTTGGCTCGCGAGGCGATATGATAGTGCTTGTATTAATTTTACTGAAAAGTCACTTTAATAATATAATATCATGAGCAATCAGGACTACTCGATTTATTTAATTCAATGAATCTACGATCTTATCATATGTTGTTGATGTGTTATCATATGTTAAATCTTTAAGTATTTTATTTCTGTATTAGTTGCGACGCTCATAATTTTTTCTCATCCAGAAGCGTCTAGTTCATTTCTTAAAGCGTGAATGTTTTCGTTTTTTTAAACAATAAGCAACAGAAAAAGTAGCTGCAGCTGCCATTACACAACTGTCCATTTGGGATGCTTGAGAATTTATGATGGCTTGGCCAGCCTTGAGAAACATGCCTCTGAATTCCGGACAAAATTACTTAGGCTTCCTCGTGAACCTTCGCTCGCGAGCCGCACATCGATGCTGCCGCACGAGCCCGTGCGCTAGGTGTGTACGCGGCTAATGACAGGCGGGCGAGCCGCGACTGACATTAATCATCAAAATGATGAGGGCTAATAATTTTTTACTCACTAGGTGTTGCTAGTTGAACTGAGGTGAAGTTATTTGTTACACAGCGTCACTATATTTAAGAAGTTGTGTTTCAGATAAAAGTTTATCGGTTTATAGAGCGTGTAATTACACAAAACAATGTCTCAGTTGCTTGCGCTTTAATTTTTTGCATATTTTTTAACTTTTTTTTTTATTTTTTCTACTTCTCGGAATATCATTAATTTGATTCCGTAGTAATATAAAATGTAGATTATATTTCATAAAGAAACATTAACCCTTACATATTTCTAACAAATTAACTCCCCCGAAGTGCAATCTATTTCAACTTATTCCTATGTGGCGCAACTATGGTAATAGAAAGTTCACGGAAGCCCTCATTAGCGGGCCGCAATTTATAATGAGTTTAGAAATTTCTCCTTTTTAACTCTTGCCAAACAGATATAAACACAATTTTATTTAACACGAAAACCTTATCATCTCAGCTAAGTATCAATTCTATTAC